TACAAGTTATATCTTAACTTGCCAAAGGGATTGGTTTTGAATGTTCAACACTATAATAATCAAAAGACAAAATATGAATGTTACATTTTAACTGTAAAATGACCAAATAAAGTCAACATTTCTCAGTCTTTACTGAGTTGAGGTTTCTTAAACTTTATCAAACACGTTTGATTGGTGATATACACAGTGATAGGTTGAGGCCTAACAAGTTTATAATAAATACAATTGTATTTACTTAAAATATTCTCATACAATCATATGTATTGGGATTCATGTGGATTAATACGTGTGAGCAACAATACGTTTCAATTTACGTTTATATTTCAATTCCAACCTAATGAATAATATATTTTTCACTGTTGTCCAGGTTCAAAAATCATAAAACAACTTCATTAAAAACCACTATTCATTAACCCGGTGACGTTTCCCTCAGACGTCATGGAGTAGTGGTTAGGAAAAGACGATAGGAGCTTTATTTTAGTATAATATTTGTTTCAATTCAAGTACCGAAAAATCAATGTTTAAATTCTGCTAAAAAGACAGAGACTGTAGTACTGTATGTGATGTTTCATCTAGATAGGTAAAATATCAATTTAGATTTATCTTATTTAACTTTATGCAGATTATTTACTGCTTTTCATAATCCTGGAAATATATTTGATTCAGATTTTGAGAATATATTCAAGGTAAAGTTTAACAACACATGAACATCACACGGGGATTTACTTTAACATTAGTGATAAGAGAGAGCTTTGCTGTTTACCATTAAAATGTTCATGCTATGGTTATTGGTACCAATCTTGATTAACACAAATAAAACTAGGATGAATCTTTTGTGAATTAATATGAATGAGGTTCCTTACATATATAATATTTTAGAGAAAGGGAATCAGAAGACATACCACTTTTAAAATACACACATTCATCTTTATTATTTTAAAATGTTGAAACCATCGACAAAGCAAAAACAGGTTGATGTTGAAACATGTCCTGAGAGCCAGAGAGCAGACTGAGAGCAGTGTGAGAGAGAAAGCAGAGTCCCAGTGAGTCAGCTCAGGACTGGGAACACTGGTCTCTCCTCAGTGTCTCTGAGAGCGGAGTCTGGGAGCCCTGGGTGGCCTCACAGGTCACAGAGCCCACTTTCCTCCACTGGTCTGCAGAGAGCCTCAGGGTGCTGCTCCAGCTGTAGTGGGCGTCCTTCTCCAGCACCCCGGGGCTCCTGCTCTCCTCCCAGCTGCTGCTGCTGCTGCTGCCGTCCACCTTCCAGGCCAGACTCCAGTCTGAGGGGAAGCCCTTGTTGGCCAGGCACATGAGCGTGGCCTTCCCCTGCTGCAGCTCTTCTCTGGAGGGGGGCAGCACCGTCAGGGTGGGACGGACATCACCTAGGAGACACCAATCAGATTAGAGAACAGGGAGCACACAGCTGTCAATCAACCAGAAGACACTGGGACACCTTTACGGTGAGAGTGTTTCTCCTTTAAGGAGTTTCTGTCAGATGTTGGTTCTGCTCCATCAGTCTCTCACTCACACATTGTTTCACTTCCCTTTAAGAAGCCTCTCATGCTAATCAGCACAGAGACACTTCATACAGAATCACCTGAAATATGTCAGACTACACTGGAAATAAAGTACAACATTAGGACATATTTTAAGTAGTTGTTGTTCAAATCATCCAAAACCTGAACTCTACAAACCATTATTAAATTATTTAGTGGATAAATGAACAAATACAGGAAATGGAGCAATCAATTGTGCTCAATGTGAATCTCAATCACTACCCAGTTTTACAAACTTTAAAATAATGTCTGAAATAATTCAACACATTTTTAATATCCGTCGATATCTTTACTCTGTTCATCTGTATTTAAAAACTGTATTCTTAATTTATTCAAAAACAGAAGGGAGAGCCGAGATAGAAAATTCAAAATAAGTTAAAGGAAAAATTATTTTTAACATTTGCAGTTTTATCCTTTCACATTTGAAGCTGTTTAAATGACAGTTTGTTGGGATTGTATAAAGACATTTCAAGAAAAGCTGCTCCGACTTTGCTCAATGATGAAGAGAAATAAAAACATGAATATTAATACTATCTAAACATTACAATAAAAATTATAAAAATCTATCTCTCAAACATTCTAACACAGAATTAAAACGTCTCTTAACAACATCATATTTAGTTTTTGTGCAGAAACTTACTTCCAACATCCAGTCTGGTTCCTCCACCAAAAGTCCACCACAGTGATACAAAGTCATTGAGCCGCCGTACAAAAACCTCTCACTGTAGAGAGACACGGCTCTCTGACTTTGACACAAACAAACTCACCAAACACATCCACAGTTTACCCAGTTTATATAATTACTGCTTATAATGTTTGAAACAGATTCACACACTCTGGAAAAGTATCTACTGTTTCTTTAGTGAACCTTTTAAACATTTACAACAAATATTTACTCATCTCTTCAGTTTTAAAATGAAGATTCTTCTTTTGAAAAACGGATT